TTATGTTATAGTACCAAGGCTTTCTGTTTTTGCCGTTTCTACTGGTGAATAGAACGCATTCATCACAACGTAATTCATGCAGTGTTTGTCTAAAAATTGAAAAACAATACTTCTTGGAACAAAACAAAAGCAAAATGGACAATACTGTTTCATGTTTGTAGAAGTAGTGAGTTTAAGTTTTTATTTTCCTTCTGGAAGAAGACAGACCAAGTCAAAGTAAAACGGGAAAGTTATCAACAGAAGCCAAGAAAACATTTGACCTACTCACCGATCTGGGGGCTTATGTTTTGATGTGAGAAAAATAATCAGTAATTTTTTATGCTTGTTTTGTTAGTTACATAATGCGGAAGCCACTCTAGATTACTACTTGTGTCATAGTGTTTCTCTTGTCTTAAGGGTTTGAAAATATCCAAATGCATCAAAGATCATGTTTTATTTTATTTCAGTGGGGGTGGGGGGATGAGAGGAGGAAGATCAGATCCAGAATGAAGCCAGGATACAGTAAGAGGAGGGAAGAAGTGGTGAAAAGCGCATGTACCCTGGGGGAGATCTGGGACTCAACCTTTCTGGCACTTCTCAGCTGGCAGGGTTTCTGCAAAGGTGAACTAGAGTAACATGTGCAAAGCCCCCTTCCTACAGTTCAATAACTAGTAGTTATTATTTCTCTCCTCCTTTTTGAACTTAGTGCTTCAATACTGAGCCTAAGGTATTTGGACTATTCCACCTTGCATTAAAGTCATATGTTGACAGTTCTCTCTGGGTGACCTTGGCTTTGTCTTCCAGAAGGTTATTGGTATGCACATTCGTCTCCTTCTACCACTTTTTCTAATCAATATGTCTCTTTCTCTCACTAATGGGATTCATCTGAATGAATTGAAACTGGATGAATTTAAATAATGTGCAGATTATTTGCAGTACACTAGGTACCCTGAAGACTGACTCAGATTTTTTGAATGGTAGATTTATAAAAAATAAATGACTTAAATAAAAACTATCCTCCAACTAGTGTTGTAATTACAGGTGAATAACAGAACTCTGAATTCGTGTTCAGGTAACACTGAGAGTCCTCATTTGATTAACCATGGGACAACACAGGAAAGACTTTTTCTAACTTTCATTTCCTGCTAAGTTTTTTTTAAACTCTTAAATATTAAGTTTTATGTCTAGGTGCAAAGATTGTTTTTGTTGTAGTTATATTTTTAAATGACTAATATCTATAAGTTTATTTAACTGTTACTTTTAAATAATAGTTACCTACCTGTCATTTCCCTGTATAAAAAAATCAATGATATATAATCAAATGTTACGCTATGAGAGAAAAAACATTTCTTATTTTTATTATAATTCTCCTATTTCACCACAGAATTTGAGAGAAGAAAAAGTATTAATTATCGAGAACTTAGATTCCCCAAAACAAAATGAAAGACCAAATTATTCAATCATGGCAACCAATTCAATTCTCAGAAAAAAATTAATTAGTTCTTTTCAGAAAAATCTAATGGAGCTGTAAATGTTTTTACAGAGATTAACTCATAAAATACTACAATTCAGTAGGCAATTAGTTTACCAAACAAATCTTATTCAGCCTGTTCTACATGTAAAGGCATTTTAAATATTCAAGTTTATTAATACACTTTGCACATTAATATGTATTCTGCTTTTGAGATAAATATTAATGTAATAATTACATAAGAAATCTTTCTTTAGCTGTAAACTTTGTGTTTTAGTGTGACTTCATAGGGAAAAAGCTAATAGAATTCAGTAGAAAATTAATCATTTGACTTGATAGTTTTTAGAAATGACAGGAAATGAACCAG